AGGTCAAAATTAAAAAAATTTTGTTCATAATTCATTGGTTATTGGAATAAAACCTTAAATTCTTTTGACAGCTAAAAAATGAATTAAATGGTCTGAACTTATAGAGCTCTTTATCAAGTCCACTAGGACCCCAAAGCGCTTTACACTTACATTCACCCATGCATGGTGGTAAGCTACATTGTAGCTCACCACCATGCATGGGTGGTAAGCTACATTGTAGCCACAGCTGCCCTGGGGCACACTGAAAGAGGCAGGGCTGCCACCGGACCCTCTGACCACCATCAGCAGGCAAGGCAGGTGAAGTGTCTTGCCCAAGGACACGATGACTGAGACGGCTGAGACGGGGGATCCAACCARTGACCTTCTGGTTCCAGGACGACTAACCACTCCACCACAGCCGCTCTAAAATTAGTCGTAGATGTCAGCTTAGCTAAACGATTACTTAATGAAAGTGTTATTAAAGTTTATTGTGATTTTGTGAGATCTATTTTTGCTACAGACCGTCTTCACCTTTGGCGTCGGGCAGTAAATACAACTGTAATCAGGGATAACCTGCCTTTTAATGAGGCTTAGAAAACACAGACTATGATTATCTGCATGCCACTAAAGAGTTTTTTTTTTGTTTGTTTGATTGTGTGAAGTAATTATGAGTGGTCAGACTCCCTCATGTGTAGAACCCTGACACTTTTCTCCCTTTAACAACCAATTAACCTCTCAGAGATGAACTCATTTTATTCATCAGTTGCCTCTAAACGAACTCTAATGTTCTGTTGCCACTAACCTGCTTCCTGCTCCACCTGCCACACCTAAAAGGCTACGTTGTTGTTCGCGTTTGTGAGTAAAAAAGCTCTGCTTGTCTTGTACAATTCAATAACTGTTCCACATTTAATTTACTGTATTGAAATCTGGGGTAAAGCTTGCAAAACAATTACAAATCCCGATTTTTGTTTTACAAAAAAAGAGCCGTAAGAATTATCGCGAGAAAAGATTACAACCATCCGTCTAATGCATTATTTTGTAAACTGAAAATTTTGAAATTCTATGATTTGATTGACAACAATAATTTACTGTTTATGTACAAGGCTCACAGAAACATATTACCTTCCAACATTCAGGTAAGCTTGGTTAAGGGAGACAGTTGTTATTATCTAAAGGGGATGGAAATGTTTGTGAAGCCCCAATGTCCCAACACAGACGAGCTACATCTRATGGCCAGAACTCTGCAGTTTTCACTCATTTACAGGCCAGTGGTCACTCTTTCAGAGATGAGGATGTTCTCATTCTTGATAGAGAGGAACGTTGGTTTGAGAGAGGAGTAAAAGAAGCCATTTTTGTGAAGAAAGACCGTCCATCATTAAACAGAGGTGGAGGCCTCCGTTTTCAGTTGTCCCCCTCCTACAGTGCTGCTATTGGCAGTGTCACTCCACCCCCCAGTTGACAATGGGTATTAATTAGGTGTGAACGATAGCATGTGATGTATCAGTCACATGGAGGCAGGGCTTARAAGCCTGAATTTTGCCTGAAACTCTCAGACTGAAGAAGTCTCTTGGAGGAGAGACGAAACGTTTCATTAGAGAAGAACCCGTCCAGAAGACCTATACAATTTTTTTCTTTTTGATTTTTTTACCTGGATTACTGAGATGCATCAGGACGTTTGTGAAGCCCTATTTTCGTACTTACTTGAAAGAAAGATGTACTTTAATCCAGGGTATAGTTTAATCCAGGGTATAGGATTATGGAATGGTCTGGAAGATGATCTTAAAAATGCCAGATCAATGTAAATATTTAAGAGACAGATAAAAGCAAGTTTTTTGAAGATTTATGAAAAGTAAAATGTGAAGCTATTTGATTTGTTGTTTGAGTTGATGTTTTTTATGTTGTTTTTTTTATTTTTAATTTTTTTTAATTTTATGTTATTTAGTATTGTTTTGTAAATTATGTTTAGTTTGAATATTTTCTGGTTTGGAAAGGGGCAGACAAAATAAGATTTATTCTTCTTCTGCTACCTTTAATTTCATTTTGATTTGTATTTTTTTTTGTTTTGGTTTATTTTTTATTATTGTATATAGTATTTTTTTAATGAAATGAATACATTTTTTGAATTGAAATTGAATTTTAAAAAACCCTGGTAATTAAAAATGTTTGTTTATTTAGGTGAACGGATGGTTTGGAACCTCATGCCCTACACAACCAAAGACTTCTCCATTCGCTCTCTGGCTGACAGAATTAGCGATCTCAATCACCTGCTGTTCCTCTACCCCGACAGACCCAAAGATGAAGTTTTCTCCAAGTATTACACCCCGCCTCTTTGTAAGTGACTTACYATAAAATGCAGTAATGCAGATGCAAACTATGTTTTCTTGTTGWTGACAAAACGTCAGAGCTAATGGCTAACCTGTGCCTGTTCTTGTGTTAAAGCTAAGGCGGTGGATGGGTATGTGAAACCACAGATCAAACAGGTGGTGCCTGAGTAAGTACCCATCTCTCTCTGTCCGTTCTTTCCCTCCATTTCTGCTCCGTCTTCTTCTTACTTCCTTTCTGCCCTYCGCACACTCTGGAGCAACATTTAGAGTTAATCACAATGTACCGGACCCTGAATTTAGATCAGCCATTAGTTAGCTGTTGAAGTTGGAGGAGGCCAATTAGGGAAGGCCGGAGTTCCTGCAGGAGCTCGTCTTYCACTCATCATTAGAGTTAGGCTTGTTAGTTAGCAAGCTGCGCTGCCTGCCTATCTCCATGCTTGGTTCAGCTGCAGGACAGAGAATGACTATAATGATATAGAATAGCCTGAGCAACACGCTGAGGACAGTTGCTTAGGCAACAGCTGAACAAAGACTCACAGGCTTTTAACCTAGGCTTACAACAGGTGTGTTTGTGTGTGTGTGTGTGTGTCTACACAGCTTTGCTACAGCTAATCCAGAACCAATCGGAACCCCGACATATATGGATCACGGCGCCTCCCCAGCGCCTGTCAATCACTCTCACACCTACGGCATCTATCAAACYATGTAAGTTACTTTTGAAAATGTTGTTTAWTCCTTTGTCTCWTCTTTGTTTACTTTTTCCGTCTCGGTGTCCGTTACRAATTAATCCCAAAAGAATTGATAATAAAGGTTTCGATGTAAATCAAGTGGAGCATCACGGTGAAATGCCGTTACGCTGCATCATTTGGACACTCAGACGTCAGTTCTGAGTCGCACACTGTCGGACGGGACACGGTAAAAAAAGAAAAAGAAAAGAAAAAAAGGAAAATATTATTTATTCGTGTGAGTCTCTCTTGTGTGTGCATGTGTGTGTGTGTGTGTGTGTGTGTGCATGTGTGTGTGTGTGTGTGTGTGTGTGTGTGTTGTGCTGCCAGCTGGTCAAACTGTGTCTGTTTTCTGTTTGCGGCGGCAGGACCGACCCAGTGCTGGACGGGGACGGAGACTTCGACCTGGACGACACCATGGACGTGGCGAGGCACGTGGAGGAGCTCCTCCGGAGGCCCGTAGAGAGCCAGTGGGGCGGCCAGCAGTCCTGACCATTTCAAACGCCACCAAACGAGTCCTGCCCCCACACCCCCACCCCACCTCCCACCAGACTGACCCCACTCACTTTGACATGGTTTAATTCCATTTCATCTCTTTTTTTTCATTTTTTTTTTCATTTAGCTATAATGTAAAACTGTTAATAACGGCTGTGATTTTATTTTCCCTTTCAGAGTAAAAAGCATGCAAGTCAGTTATCTCTTCTAGTTTGTGTCCGTATGTGTTTGTAAAACWGACTATATTTACTGCAGAACCTACAATGTTACAGTATTGTGAAAAAAAAAGAAAATAAGAAATATTGTCCTTGAAATCGTGCATGTATTTTCAATTGATTTTAAACTCATTTTGGAGGAAAAAAAAAAAAGAAATATGCTATTGTATGATGTTATTTCCAGAGCTGAATGTTTTTATTTTATATTATCTACTTTGTAAATTGGTTACTATTTCGCTCATGACACTGACCTTGCCCCTTTTTGACAAAAAAAGAAAAAAACTTTAAAGCGGAGTTTTTTGCTTTTGCTCTTATAAATTATATTCTAATTCATTGCTTGCCAGTTATTCAGATGTATATGCAGTACACTAACCTGAAAAGGCGGGAGCGGCGCTCGTTGCTCTCCGCGCCTAACGGCACACACATTTTGAACACGGTACGCGAGCTCAAGATTTATTTGTTTCCGATTTGTTCACCAGCTGCAGAGGAGAGGAGCTTGTGCACCTCCCTTTGCTCTCACAGGGCTATTTTTCTTCTGTTTGGACACAGAAATGCAAACCTAAGCATTTACCTAGCGCTGCCTGCTTATCCTCTCAGGTCCCACCGCTCCACTCATCGATGCTACCTCGCATTAGTCCACTGACAGCCRCTGTTAGCGCTGGTTCGCATGTTTTTTTTTTTTTTTCGTCCGCGCCGTCCTCTCTCTTCGGTTGGTGAATGTTCTTGGTGATTCGCTTCAACCCACGTGAAGAAGATCCCTCGCTGCACGGGCTGACCGTTTTAATGCTTGAAAACCACTCACATGAAGACATCCGGTATCATGAAGTGTCTTACGTTTTGATTGGTATGCTTAAAAAAAAAATTGATGTCCTCTGCCTAACTTTGTTTCTTTTTTTTTTCTCTGTGTAACTACATGATGACACTGTGGCGTAACAAGCATGTGCACGTCTCTCTGCGACAACACGGACTAGCAGGTAGCACGGACGCTCTGTCAAATCTGTTGCTCCGCTGCCACATTCTCACAGTGTAGGATTGAAGTATTTTTGTTCATTTTGTTTGTTCGGACTATTTCTTTTTGTGTGTTTTTGTGTATGCTGCTTTTCGGTACGCAGAGATCGTTGTTGTTCAAAACAGTATTGCACCTCAGGAATGAATTGTTGCAGAAACCGACATACAAGCCAAAAAAAATAAATAAAAAAAAAAAGAGAAGAGAGTTTTATGTACACAGAAAACAATTTTATTTTATCTATTGTAGCGTTTCTGTGGCAGTCTGCAGCTGAATGTGATTACCCTGAGGAATTACACACAGTTCATTCAGGGTTTGTGTGTTTGGAAGTACTGGCTGAAGGAAACGGAGCACTTGGCAATCAGAAGAGTAATGGATGTTTTCTCAGTATCACAACATTTCAAATATTCCCTCATTTTTATCTGTTCTATTCAACTTTTCTGTTCTGTTGTAGAAATCTCGAGCCGTGTGGGAGATTTAACGACAGGTCCCTCATTAGCACCCTCCTGGTCATGTTTGAGGTTCTGTTCCACTGTAGACCGTGTATTTTTTTTGATGACGCACGTAGATGGCGCTGTGTGTTGTTGTACGTTACCATGTTTGTGGGTTGTTTTTGTTTTTTTGGGTTCGTCACTTGGAGGTTTTCCAAGAAACACACCTGTCGAGTTGAAAAGAAAGAAATAAAAGTTTTATAAATAAATGCATTCATTGTGTTTTCCGTGACCGTTTTATTCTTGCTCGTGGCCGGGATCCAGCGGATCACAGCTGGCGTCTGGAGAGAAGCGGGTGAACTCTGGACGCTTTTTCACTCGGACAAATCCCGTGTGTTAGATTAACTGACAACATGCACACGTGTGGAGCCAACAGTGCAAAAACAAAGGCCCAAATCTGTGTGAACACTGGGGTTGACTCTGCTGTTCTGTAGATATTGTGCTAAAATATCTGTAAAACTAAAATAGTTACGTTTTTGTGTTTCAGGTCAGTTTGGCCATAGCGGCCATCTTTATTTAGGTCGACTCCAAAAGGTAATCGTTTGTAGATGTACATGCAAATGTTACGTTCCAAGAGTTACATTAAAACCTGTTTTATAAGAGATTTTTGCCAACACTGCCAGTGGTGGAGTTGAACGTTTTTGTGCAAAGGGATGTCCCAAGTTAACTTTTAGCTTCAAACTTTTAAGTGAGTTCCAGCATGCCTCGTAAAACAAACAAAAAAAGAATTTTAGCTATTTTTGGCAAGTAAACTAAACACCATTCTTCATGTCTAAACAAAAAACTCAATGTAAAGAAAAAAATTATTTAACTTAGATATATACACTCACCGGCCACTTTATTAGGTACACCTGTCCAACTGCTCGTTAACACTTAATTTC